CAAGAAGATGATGCATCATTCCACTCTTAAATTTTACATGCCCAGTCACTTTCCATAGTTTTTCTCCATTTGATTGGGTACCAACTGCCTGAAACTGCATAAGATATATACTTCAGATTTTGATTATGGAAGGCTCTTTTTATTTAATGAATGAAGAACAGGTGTATCTATAGTTTTTGATAGGAAATGAGGGAGTATCTTTGGGACTATCTGATGAAGAACTACTGCTGATCTTTTAGACTTGACTTTCAGTTGCACCTAGCTTACTAATCAGAATAGCTGCTTCTGGTGCAATTGGAGTGGCCACACCTCAAATTTTTACAATCCTGTCGCAAGTAGGTATTGTACAGAAACAAGCAAGGTTGCAGTCCTAAAGAGTAGTTGTCTAGAGCACATACTGGAGACAAATTCTCCAGGAAAGTTATCTTATCTCTCACCAGGTCTTAGTGCTAGAACGTATGATCCATTTCACTGGAACAAAGGAATCTTCAACTAGTGGAAGCACTTTAAAGCAGAAAGAATCTATTAAAAAGCTCTGGTGTGAGTAGAAGCAACACACTTCTTTTGCTGTTTTTGAAGTAGAGTTGGACGCAGTTCAGTAGGTGACTTCTCAGCATAATGGAAAAGCAGAGTTCTTACACAGCTTCCATCCATCAAGGGGAATTGTGTAGAAGACTTTTACTATAGATGGGTTAGCTAGACAGCGTAAAGACACAGTAAAAATTGATTGTACCTTTTCTTCCTGTTTTGTATTGTAAATGAGCTGAATAAATTCTGCTTAAATTATGGTTTCTTAAGAGTTAAAAATCATAGGATGGAGATTGGGCTGGGAGATTAAAACACGAATCATGCACAAACTTTGAAACAGGGCAGTTGAAAGAGAATCAATGATGAGAATGCTAAACTGTAGGTGGGAGTTTTTAGCATAGGAGAAAGGAAAAATAAACTCCATGGACACAGGTTTGGTGAGAATAAGATACATTTAGATGTTTGTCATTTAAATTGAGATGGGTACTTCCAGAAATGCAGGACACATGCACCACCCCACCAGACCTCAAAACAGTCCACCCCAATATTCCCAAAATAACGTTTCAAGATAAAGGCCCCCAAGCACCCTTTAGGGGTTGCAGGTACAATTTCATATGATTTCAAGCTCCTCTCCCTCCATCTCTTTTAAGCCCAGAGGAGGTCCTCCAAAATGAGGAGCCCCCTTCCAACGAAAACAGGGCAAGGGTGAAAATCTCCTGGGCATCTAGAGGACCTGAGTGGTGTCACTTGTGTGCGCATGTGCCTGCAGGCATTCTGCTGGACACATTTTGCCCTGAATTAAAATTCTTGGATTCTCAAGAAACTCCTGTCGAAATGCTCACCACTAGGCAGAAAATCGAAGAACATAGTTTTCACACAATTTTACTTATGTCTAGTGCTAAATACAGTCAGCCTTGGGTGTTATAGAGAAGGCGTCTTTCCACTTCCAGAACAAAGATCCTGCCTGCACTATCATTAGAGCATGTTTCTAAACAACTAACTAGTACTTGTGCTCAGAGTAAAAACATGAAACAGGGAGAATGAAGGGTCCTAGAACTGTATGTTAAGTTTATGGCATCTTTCTTTCCTTTTATCCCCTCCGCTAGCACAACAGTCCTAATGGAGAGAGGAATGAGGCTCCTATTAAAAAAAATATTGAGAGCTGTGAGTGCATACAGAGCCTAGCCCTAAGAAAATTCTCATACAATTTACCCAAGTAACCAAGCACCCAGTGTTTGTGATGGAAACAGGTTACATTTCATCACTAACTCAACTGGAGTCTAGGAGAGTGAGCTATTCAATTTACCTCTGCTTCCCAACATCCTCCCTTCTTCTTCCCACTCCCTATAAAGCTGCTCCTCCATTACCGTCATTTTTCCCAAAGGCTTTTCTAGGAAATGATAATCAAAAGTTTATTATAATGACACATACACAAAAAATTATGCAAATTTCACATAAGAAATAAGACACAGATGTTACAGGTGCCTTTAATTTTAACAGGCTAAAGACCATAAATGATATGCAAAAGGTTATTAATTGCAGGTAAAAAGAAAGGAGAAAGCAGACCACTTGATGCAAAGCACTCCTCAAGAGTTAGAAGGAGACTGTTTTTCTTGAAGAAACCTGATCTCGCCATCTAAACATGAAGGCATCTCATTAGGAAGGCCCTGAGTAGTATTATCAATTGTGGAGATCGGGAAACAGATTATTGAAAATGTTAATCTACTCATTTAACTTGGAACATACTTGATGTCTAAAACAAACTGACTATGTCAGAGTCTGAATAATAACTATTGCCATGCCAGTTGATCTACATGAAGATGTACTTGAACACACCAAAGTAAAATACATTGTTAACTACCCACCCCAAGACTTTTCATTTCACTGCGGCTGGCATGAATTTCTTTTCAAGCATATCAGAAACAGAGATGGCATAATAGCAGCACCAAAAGTAAGTGTCAGTTTATGAAAGCCAACAGAGTAGGACAAGAGTGAGTATTGTAGGTGTGATCCAGCCAAAATTGTTTACTTTTTTTTACTGGTATCAGTGGAAGAGATTAGTCATGCACTTAAGTACAGCTGAATTGTGCCCTTTGTAACTTTCCTGCTTGGGATTAGTATTTAGAGCTTTCCAAGTCTGGCTTCATCAGTAGTGTGTTCAAAAAAGAAAAGAAACTTCACCAAATGAAATTGTTAATGCTCCAATCCCAAAAATCCTTTCAAATAAAGATCTGAGCTGACTACAGAGTTACATAAATAAATACATAAAGCTATATTAAATGCTGCTCAAATTTTGCTACTGGATAAAAGGAGCTAACCATGTATCTTTCTACCAGGAGAAATTTAATCAGTGATACAGCCTGCTACCCCATTTACCCCTTGAAATACCAAGAGGTAGAAAGACCTACCTGCTGCTTTGCTCTTTACACCCCTCTTGCAATTTAGCCTACATCTTGCTTGTTTAGTCCAGAAATGGGGATTTAACAGGTAGCTTTTAGAGTTGGTTCACATTTGGATTTATTTTTTATAAACTTTTGTTGACTACCCCTGAAAGGCTTAAGCTAGCCGACTCCAACTGAGACCATATTTAGATCTCCAACCTGCCACAGGCAGATTTCCAATTACTCCAGCAAGTGATAGCTACTAATTTATTAATAGCACAAGCCTTAACTTTAAAAAATGCAAAGCAATACATACTGCAACTTGGATCAATGTTAATTAAATTACAAAACAAAAAATAGTTTCATCACTGTCACCAAAAATAGTCAAAGCCATCTGGATACGCCTGCCAGCAGCCGTAGAAGACTTAAACCGAAGTGAAACAGTCAAAGGGCCGGCTAGTGACTCAAATAAATGAGAAGAACCCAACAGCTCCTTCTTCAATAGCCAAGGCACGCACAGCTAAATGGAGGTTCTACTATAGATACATACAATCAAATGGCATATTTTGCTGCTATCTGTCAAAAAAAGTATTAAAAATTTGGATTTAAAAAGCCACACAGTGTTCTCATTTCCTCTCTCAACTTGCACCCATGTACGTACACTTTTGGCACCGGCAGAGTTTTATTTGAGCCAGAACCTGGTGCCAGAGTATATTTTAAATGTCAGAAACACAGAGACATTAAAAGAGGAGTGCTTCTGAACATGTGCAGAGTTCATTTCAGGCAGCGATAAGCTTGAGTCCAAATGCCTCTCATTTTAGAAGTTTATTATGGCACAGGAAACTGAAAACTACAAGCAAGACCTAAATGCTTAGGATATTCTAAGCAGTGCTCTTTTGCTCTGGGAGTAGGGAAAGTGGTTAAGGTTCAGTGCCACTGAGAATCAGAATTGTGTAAAATGATTAGCCCATTTGAAGTAGGGGTTCTTATTTGTATCAGAGCACTGCACAATTTAAAATTATGGGCATATAAAAATATAAATAAAAAACAAGGGATGAATAAGGATTTTATTGTTTATAAAAACTTACCAAATTCACACATTCTTCAAAATTAAGACAAAGAAGTTAATGTTTTAAAATTTTAAATAAGGAGAATGAATTAAGACAGCTTTATCCATCTGGCAAAAAGCTCTGAGTGCTTACATTTCAAACGCCCAGGTCTGACACTTCTGTGTATTCAGCAGAGCTTGTGGTGCTGAATTAGGTTTTCCACTTTATTTCCAGTAGGCTTTTCATCTTTGATATCTGTAAAGCAGGTAGGACACACCATGATCTTATCCTTTCAATGCTGGGAACAGCTTTACCTCTTGATTAGGCAGGTGTGGATTTTCACTGTTGTTCAATTCATTCCAAATTTGTCAGAGCTAATACATTATAAATGGGACAACCTATCTCCTCACAATTTTTCTTTCTAAGGAAGAAAGCTGATCTCACAGATTCATCCGTCTCCACTCTGAAGTGCGCTTCCAGACAGAACTAGGAATCTGCAAGGTTCCTGGCCCTATGCAGTTCATGCATTGTACAGACTTGTTTTGTACATATTATTTCAAATGATGAGGGGCTCTGAATAGTTCTGCATGTGGCATTTAAATGTGTGTGGCTTTTTTAACCTGCAGTAGAAGACATACATGCCCTGCATAGATCAGAACAGGTCTGGTCGGGAGGGGCATGAGCTGTCTTCTAAGGGCTTCCTCTGTGGAAGAGAAAAGAGGCTGAGCATTTACTGGGGCAAGGAAATATCCCTCCTGACATGGTGCTCATCTCAACAGAGTCGCAGCTCAAGAGAAGAACAATAGACCCCACATGCTTCCTTCCTTATCCCACTGCCCACCTACCCTTCCTGCCTAAAGCAGAGCAGAGTGGGATGGAAAACTAAGCAACAGGTCAATGGAAGGAGTGGAGGAAGCCAGAACTGGACAGCACCACTGCCAAGGTCCTATCTTGAACCTTACTAGGCAAGGCAGAATGAAGCACTAGTAGTATGTTGTATGGATGCAAGAACATTAAGTGCACTTGAGTAAATTTTGCTGGATTGCATCCTGTACCCAGAAAGGAAGTTTTTCATCCTTGTAGGAAAAAGAAGTAGCTTAGGCAGTTTTTTAAAAAGGTTTCAAACTGCACAGGTAGCTGTATGGCTCACAGAAGACCCCACCAGTGGATCAGAAAAGGACACAAAACTGCAATAAAAGTATGAAAGCTTTGAAAGTCCCTGTTGTCTAGGTGCTTTGGTGAATCTCATTGAATGATCTAATATTTGGCTACAAAGTGTGCTGGCCACGTTAAAAATAACGAAAGCCTTTCCATTCAACCTTGTTACCTGAAGGCACTGCTTGCATTCTGAGGAAATGGCAAAGATTATACATATATCCTTTAAAATTTGGAACCTTCCATAAATGACATTTCACTAATATAGGAAACTACAAAGTTCCACTAAGAGGGACGCAACCACCGATATCTGTTTTGCTGTATGTGGGATGGCTTCAGCTTGTATGGTCCAAAGACATAAAGCAAGCTTATCACACCAAACTGGATACACTTAAAAGATACACTTAATCCAAATGTAATTGGATTCTTAGAGAAGTCATACCAATGAAAAATTTGGCTTGAGTTAAAGTATACCTAGTAAGATAGTAAGACATGACAGGTTACAAAGGGAAGTACTGTATTTACTACTCTTTTGGTTTTTTTTTAAGGTTGAGAATTCCTCTTCTGCTTGTTCCCTGTAGACTAAATAGGAATATTTACTCTCCCCACTCCCACCGTGGGTAATGAATAAATATCAAAGGCAGAATATGTACATATGACAAAGCCAAGGAAACAACAACATCCAGTTATAAATGGCTAGGGTCGCTAGATACATCTATACAAGTAGAATAGCTTTATTAACATGAACATCCCCACTGGCTTCCATGGCATTGTAGTGTCCCAGATAAAAAACATATGATGAAAGAAAGGTGGATCCTTGATGCAGACGTTGTGAAATAACTAGCTGTTCTAAAGTTAACCAAAAAGCCATCTTCTGACAAACACACTGGAAGCCAACGGTGCCTCTTCAACTAAAATCTGTACAACAGCTTAAGAGAGAATATTTGATCTGGAGTGAAAAGAGCTGAAAATTAAATTTATGATAACTATAAGAAAGTTAACAAATAACTTATTTGAAATTACTACCCTCTGCAGCTTACAAATGTTGCAGCAGAACACTAAAACAAACAAAAACCCAGCCACTTTTTTCTCATTGAAGCAGTAAAACCATCTCTGGAAAATAACTTTCAGACTCTCCTGTGCAATGTGTTCTCGAAGGCTTTCATGGCCGGGATCTGATGGTTGTTGTGGGTTTTTTGGGCTGTTTGGCCGTGTTCTTAAGGTTTTTCTTCCTCACATTTTGCCCGTCTATGTTCAGCATGCAGACAAAATTCTAGCTCCTGTCCTCTGAAGATGCCGGCCACAGGGACTGGCGAAACGTTAGGAATAAAAACCGCCACAGCACAGCCAAACAGCCCGAAAAACCTACAACAACCATCTCCTGTGCACTTCACCATCATATGGTATACAGGAAGTGGGAAATTCTACAGTGCCCTCTTTATTTTTCTACATATATATGGAGATGAGCCTTTCAGGATAATCATTTATAAATTCATAGTCTTAAGAGCTGTTAATGCATCCCTGTACACTTATAAAAAGAAATACCTGGCATTTTTCTGTAGTAGATGCAACTAGATTTAAGATATTTTTCTGGCTCTGAATTTTGCTATTGATGATAATCCACACATGGTCTTCTCCAACAAAAGGCATGAGGGTTACGTTCTTGCAAACTTCCATTCACAGCAATGAAGCCTCATGAAGGCGGCCATGCCAGTAAATTACACATGCTGGAAGGGACATATACCTGTTTTAAATTTGTATGTAAAAACATTATACCTTAAGTGGCATCTCCTAAGCAGTGCTTCCAGATGTTTCCTCAGGCACAAAATCCACCCAAAATATTTTTTTTCATAAGCAGTGCCCAAAAGCTGGGTCATATGATTAGCTTGGGAACTCTTTATGTGGTAGCCTTGAGAACTTGTTAAAAACTTTTCTTTGTCTAAAGGGCCAGTGACATATTCCTCTATAGTGCTGAGACTCTCAGCTCTTGCTAAATATAAAAGAGGAGAAGTTCTTGAAAATATAGAAAGAGGAGATTTGGATGTCCGTCCCAAGAGCTTGGCACACATCCTGTCTGGAAACAGATCATTTGTCATTGCTAGATTTCATCAACATGGCTACCACACTCTGGTTTTGTCCTTACAGTCAAGAATACTGACCAATACACACAGACGTGGTCTTAACAGGGCAGTAAGCATGACTATGAATCTGTTCCTCAGACACTGAGAACCAACAATGCATTGAATTGTCCCGTCATTAAGGCTGGAATTAGGAACTTGGAACTGCACAGTAGCTGATCATGCATTTCTTATTTATAACTGATGTTGCCTGTCTTTGGGAATGGTGAATATTAATTTGCATTGAGCAGTTAAGTGACTAAGGTGATTACATAGCCATTGAAAAGAGTGTCCCAAATCCCACACTGGGCTGAATTTGTTGTGAGCCATTTGATCTTAACCTCTGTTTCTAACACGAATCCCTTTAGGCTGAGCCTCTCTCTGACTGTCAGCCCACTGAAGTAAGACTGGCTAATTCTCTTTTCTGAAAGTTTCTCCTACTGAACTCTTAGATCCCTTGAAACAAACCTTAATAGTCAATACATTGGGAGGACACACCTAAGTTGGTGGAGTTAATGCAACAAAGGTCCCAATGCCAGATTCCTCTGAAAGAAATGGCAAGATCAACTGGCAGTAAGCAACTCCAGAAAACATGCAGGTTGAGGGGTGGAGGGGTTATCTAAATTTCTTACAGTTAATCCCATCTCTGAGATCTCTGTGATAAAACAGCAATGTTTGTTTTCCTTACTACAAAACAATGATTAAATTCCTCTTAGGAAAATATTTCTTCCGTTAATTTCAACTTTCTTCCCTCGCCTGTGGATGGGTAGACTTTAATCCAAAGGGTTTTCCTCGCTGCTTCTGTAAATGGTGTATCTGAGATGGGCACACAAGCAAGGGGACATGTAGAGGCAGAAGCAAATATTTTAAAAAGGAATGTTAAGAGCTTTCTTGGTCCTTTTTGAGCTGCTCTCACCTGTCAGTCACAGGTGAATGTTTCCTGATCAAGTGATGGTGGGGAGAAGATGAGGACTTTTGTCTTCCTCTCTCCCACCTGAGAACTGCTGCCAAGAGCAGCTCTGTACAGAGAGACCCCAGACGTCAGTGTTTGCAAGAGGAGGTCATCCCAAACAAGCGCCCCAAACTGGCAGTGGGTCAAAATGTCTGCTACTTCAGTTGGAAGAATTAGTACAACTGAAAGGCCAACAGCTGGGACAAGATCCATAAGCAGAGTTACTTCAGAGTCACATCCACGGTGCTGGAACATCTTTCACTGAAAGAAAGGACCGGTCACTGTATAGGATCAGGCACTGGGAAACTGGCCACAAGCCTAATGTTCACGGATGTCAGTTATTCAGAAGGAGGACAGGTGAATTCTTAAAGAGTTTGATGTATTTTGTTCTTGGTCATGAATTGAAAATATCCCATTTTCAAGTCTTGGCTCTTGCCTCAACTTTAAGACACGCTGGAACAACGGATGCTTGGAGAGCCCATCTGTGTCAGGACCTTGTCCAGCCACTGCAACGGGCCGTTCAGATGGAGCTCAATCCAGCAAGGAGTACTTGTGACTGTCTGCCGCCTGAAAACAACAAGGAGAGCAAGAATTACATGTCTGGAAAACTATTCCCAAAAATAAAATTGGGGGTGGGTAGGGAGGAGGTATTTGTACAACTTTGGCTCACAGAAGAATTTTTCAGCCTGTGCATGCTTAGTACTCTGTAGGACTAGACATAGCCGATCTTGGCCCTAGAGCGCACAGCTGGCCGCTGGAGGGTGGTTTCAGTCCTTACAATCTTATTTGGAGTTGAAGGGACCTGATTTACAACTGGAAGTGAAGTTATACGATGTGCAGACAGAAAATGTCCCCAAATGGCCAATCATGTTGCCAGAGGGTGTGATGAGCCATTTCAACCTTTTAAAAAAATCAGAGGGATGGGCATGCTGGGAGGACCTTGAGGGTTCATGTGCACGACCCTGGTTTAAGGTGTTCCTTCTGTCCTCTGCTTCTGTTAATATATAGGAAGAGCAAAAGAAAAACCTGCATACATCATGAAAAGCCAGTCACTGGGTGCTTGGTAAGCCACGTCAGAAGCAGGTGGTGTACTGAATCCCAGAGAAGAGGTAGGCAGGCTGCATTCAGTTGGGTGGGTCATAGAGGGCCCTGTTACATACAGCACTGATGTTACCTGTCGGTCATGGGTTTGGAGGGAAAGTTCCATCCTATGGGGAGTGGAAGGCGGGACATCAGGAGGAGGGGCTGTACTGTATATATATGTGGAGCGTGTGTGGAGAAGCAGAGGA